CCTGAGCAACATAGTGAGATCCTGTCTCTATTATAAATACATACATACATACATACATACATACATACATACATACATATATTCATACACACACACACATACATACATACATACATATATTCGTACACACACACACATACATATATGCATACATACATTGAAATGTAATCCCAGAGGCAATAGTATTAAGAGGTATGCCCTTTAGGAGGTGATTAGATCATGAAGGCTCTGACATCATGAAAGGGATTAAGTGTTCATACAAAATGGCTTGACAAATAATTTCACCATTCTCCCCTTTTTGCCCCTTCCATCCCTTCCACCATGGGAGGACACAGTGTTTCTTCCTTCCAGGAATGCAACAAGGCACCATCCTGGAAGCACAGATCAGATTCTCACCAAACACCAAGCTTGCCAACACTTTGGTTTTGAACCCCTAGCCCTCCAGAATTATGGGATAAATTTCTGTTCTTTAAAAATTACTCCGTCTCAGGTATTCTGTTATGGCAGCACAAATGAACTAAGATAGTCTGCTATTGTCCAATCAGTTTCAAATGTTTATCTGTATAAACTACTCTCAATGAAAGGAACCAGGACTCCCAGCAGAAATGGCTGATTCTAAGGCTGAGGCAGGAAATACATAAGATGAGCCTGCAGCATCCTGTAGTGCCAGAAAGTAAGAATGTGCTAAAATGTATGTACATACACCTACACTCACACAATGACGGGACTATGTCAAAGGTACACAGGCACCAATGGCCAAAGAGGGAAAATTTTGAGCCAAAAAATTAATTTAAAAGAATTAGGTTATATGCCAAAGTCTAAAATAAATATCCATGAGCCCATACTAGTATGAATAACTACTGAATAAAGAAAGAAATGAGGAAGAATAAACAAGTCTCTCATGCAGAATTTCAAACAATGTATGTAGCTACCTTGCTTTAAGGAGGTCCACCATAACTCCCCCCTCCTTAAGTGTAAACCTGCATATAGTGACTGCCTTCCAAAGAGAACAGTATGCAGAGAAGAAGAAAGGAGTAATTTTACAGTGGAGAAGCCTGACAGATACTTCAGCTGGGATCAAGGTCAATGTCAACAGTGATAAGTCGTGTTGATAGCATGTACCCTTGATATGATGTGATGAAAATGGCACTGTATCCTTGTGATTTTCCTTCCCAAAACCAACAAACACAGTCTGATCATGAGTAAAACATCATAAAAATCTGTATAGAGGGACATCCTACAAAACACTTAGTCAGTCCCCTTCAAGGTCATCAAAAACAAGGACAGTTTGAGAAATAATTACTACCAAGAGTTGCCTAAGGAGATATGATGACCAAATGCAATGTGGTATCCTGGCTGGAATCCAGGAACAACAACAACAACAACAAAAGAAAGTAGATAAAAAACAAGAAAATCTGAATTAAGTATGAACTTTGGCTAATAATAAGGCATCAATATTGATTCATTAATTGTGACAAACTTGCTACATTAATGTAACATGTTAATAAGAAAAACCAGATATGGATTATATGGAAAAATCTTTGTAATACATCTACAACTTTTCTGTAAATCAAAATCTATTCTAAAATAAAAAGCTTATTAAAAATTAACACACATACAATTACTCTTAAAGATTTTACAAAAACAAGTATTGGGTTATATGTTGGCTTGTGGGCCATAGCAACTTCTGCTCTAAATTAGCTACTTTCATTCCCATTTTGTACTGAAAAAAGTAAGGTTGAGAAAGAATTCTAATTATATCAGGGTTAATCAAAACTTATTGTGAATGATGTCAAAATGTATGCTCTTTTTATTGTAACATAAGAAAACTTTTCCTCAGCTCAGAAGCATCTGATGATTCTTTATTGACTCCACCACTCTTTTATCAGGGAGAAAAATATTTTTAGCATGTCTCAGATTTCCTTAAAATTCCCACTAGCCAACACTGAACCACATTCTCACCCATAAAAAGCAAGGGAGGCTGGAAAGCTGGCAGCTGGCATTTTCAATTCTATGGTGAATCAGAAGAAGGATAGAGAAAAGTCTGTGGTAGAGGCACCCAATGGTAGAGGCCAGGATTGTTATGAGTGTTTATTTAAAATTATGTATTTATTTAATATACATCTTTCTTTCCTATGATTTTTATGTTTGTTCTTACACGTAAATTAGAAGACCTTTTAACAGTAAAAGTTGTGACAAAGTTATTTATACCTGAAAGGTTATTATTTTAATCTTGACTTACAACATTGTTTGGGGAAAAGATCAGACTCCCAGACACCTTTAAGTTCTTGAGAAAAATCACAGTCAGACCAAATTGTTCTTCAAGAAATGAAGCAGAAGCCTAGGACACAATCAATAAGTGACAGAGTCAGCGGCCCAAGCTTCATTGTGCTAAGTAGATACTTTGGTATGTATGCCAAAGAAACCAACTCTCAACTGTTAAAACCACCTGGAAATAACTTAACAACATGTGCCATTTTCTTGCAAGAATGAAGAGCTTTGAAAAAAACTCCCAAATGAGCTGGAGACACTACTATACCATCTCTAGGTGGTAGGGATCTCTGTCACTACATATAGCTGCTTTGTCTTGTGAAGACCCACATATTAGAACAGAACTTATTCTGACTCCACTAAGGTATAAGACCACCACTAGTTCAAGAAGTCCTGACTAGTAGTAAATTCTTACATATCAAGCACTATTTTCACAGTGCAAGGTAACAATTTAAGATGGAGGAGTGTTTGACACACTGTGGGGCATGGTCTGGACATGAACTGTTGCCCCATCACCCTTCCTTCAGGAGCAGCCTCTGGCTAAGGCTGGTCTCTGAGGGCATGCATATCCCGGTAATGAGTTACAGGGTCCAAGTGATCAAGCAAAGCTGAAGGCAATGTATTTGTCATGTGTAATCTATGTAATTGTAAACACTAGATAGGGATTTGATTAATTGACTTGCTTGCCTATAAAACTGTTTACTGTACTGCCCTGGAGCTAGTTTCTTTCTGCATTGGCCCACTGCCATCGGTGACTCATGGATGGACCCTTTCCTCACCCACCTGCTACCACTGGTGCTTCCTATAAGTTCTAATAAACTAATGTTTTTCCCTGCTGGATCTCCAGGTAACTTCTTTGGAATATACAAAAAACCTTAGGTGCAAGACCTCTCACCTTCAGGGTTGCTGCAATGCACACATTTAGAGAATGTGGTCCATACTCTAGGAGGACTATTCACAACTTAGGATGCACTAACTGCAGATCACAGTCACTAACCATCAAAGTGAGAGTACTCACCTACTTTCTGTTAAAGTCTGTATCTAAAACAAGAACAGCAACAATAACAATAGCTGACATATATTGAATCTTAATATGTGCTGCGGGGGGCGGGGTAGGGGGTGTGAGATCTAAATGATTTCCATGCATTCTGGTGTTTCTCACAAAGATCTTTCAAGGGAGGTCTTATCATGATCCCCATTTTCCATATCATGAAGATTAGACCCAGAGAATTACTTGTCCAAAGTCATTACCAAGTGAATGACTGAAGCAAGATTTTAATCCACTCTGCTACAAACACGCTGCCACAGAGTAGCATTTACCTTATCTTTGCTGAGCTCTTTCAAGAGTAATTCTATATTTATTTATTAGCTCAAGATCTAGTTTAAAACAAACCACGAACTCAGGAGCCAGGATCCTTTTGTGCAGCTCTTGTTGCTCACCATCCTTCTGACACTGAATTAGTGTTCAATGAGATGAATTGTTGTTATCAAATGTTCAAATGAATAAGTGAATGCCTTTAGGTGTGTTCGGTAGCCACTCTCAGACTGTCAGAAGGCTCTGCCCCAAATCCTAAATTGGTAGGTTCCATTCATTTGCTTTCAAAAAACAAATTGTGATTGATAACAGATTGTTTAGCTTTTCAGGTAAGTCCTTTAAGGTGCATCGTGTATAATAAATTTAGGAATTTGGGAGACTGAAAATGGCTTCGGGGTATGCAACCTAAAGCAGCGTCCAGACGAAGATCAATAAGCAAATGACATGCAGCAGTGTGGACATTGTCCTAGGGTATGCAGAGACCAACAGGAAAATGTTGGGGGTCAACTCACATCAATGTTACTAGGACCACTCCTGTTGTCGATGGAGGAGTCTGTGTACCCCACAATCAACAGAGTCTTCTGCAGGAAGATGGAGTAAACAAGGTCTGTACAATACTCTCTGCTGTCTGTATTCATGAACGCTTAACCAACCAAGTTAATATTTTGCTCTTACTTCACTTCCAAACACTTAAACTAAAAATGTTAACATATTGCACTGTATCATTTAATAATCAGAGTGTGGGTGTATTGTTGTGTCATTTGTAGGAATAGGAACAGATGTTATGAGGGTAGAGAGGGAAGGAAAAGCATCTTAAATAATTATTTTTGCTTAAAACGCTCTCTCACACCTGGTTTCAGCACTTCTCTTGGCCTTACCAAACATTCCCATGCGAAGTTAAAAATGTGTTTTTAAAAATAACTCTGGGACTTCGGTGCAGCATTTGGATACAAAATAGAATTGAACACACAATGACTCTAAACTGCCTCCTAGTTTCTAAGGACTGAGGAAGGCGTGGTTTGCTAAGGTGATTTCTTTTGGCCTCCATAAGATAGCAGCACACAGGGTATTTCTTGAGGCCACAGGTGCCTGCGCAGAAAGCCTAGCAGCATCTCTTAATTTCAATGTGCCGAACAGTCACACGTGCCACCATTCACTGGCAAATTCGGATGCAAGGCTTCAGATAAGAATTCTTGTTATTTTTTCCCACCCTTCACATTGACAAGTAGCGGGGATGAGCTCACTGACAACGAGGAGGTCAGAAAGGCTCCCAGAAGCTAAGGGCAGGGCTCCAGCAGCCACAGAGGTGTACCCCTCAGAAGATTTAGAATCTCATAAATAGGAGGATTGTCTGACAGCCAATATCAGATCCAAGATTTTTTATACAATTTTATAAGAACAAAATAGACAAATGTGTCCTTGACTTGATAACATTTATTCAATATTCTTTGAAATTAGCAAGAATCAGAAGAAGCATATATCAATCAAATACAGTCACAAAAATGTCCTGGATATAAATAAAGATACACTATGAGAAATACTCACTACTGAAGGAACCAGTACTCTCTTACATTGACTACCTCTTAGCAACAAACAACTCAAACGTAAATTTAAGTTACTCACAATATAAAAACCTTGACGTTTTAAAGGAAAATAGAGAGCCAAATTGATCATAATTTGCCTCACTAGGCCCTTTCATAGTGTATGTTTTCAAGGTCTAGCTTGACAACTATTACAGAAATGACAAAAACAAACTCGAAAGAATGTTTCCGCAAAGTTCAACAGAACCGTGCAGAAATAAGTTACTTACCCATGCACAGAATAAGGCAAAGGCTAATTTCATTCGGGTTAGGAATAATAAATTTAACTAGTTTCTTTTTCACAAAACAAACATTTCAGACTTCTTTTTAAGTAACAGGTATACTCTATTATGCATCATACTCTACTTTACATGTTTTTCCTAACTCTACTCAGAAAGCCGGCACTCACACATCAAATAGAAACTTCTCCTTGATTAGACTTATTCTGTAACAACCACAGAAATGAATCTGGGTTCGTGATAGTGTCTATCATGAAAAGAGCACACAGTAGTAGAAGCATACAGTTTAGAGAGCTGAAAGTACATTAAAACGTAGTCTATGGAGTTCACAAATTCCGGTTTTAAAATATTTTTTCAAACTAAAAGCTGCAGAAAATTAGTTCTTAAATATTCTACTGAAAACTCTTGAGCAGCTAACATTTTAAATTTCTTAAGCTTTTTATTTTCTTAAAAATATTTAAATGAGTGTAGTATCTCATCTTTTTGAAAAATAATCCAAAAAAAGATTATAAATCTTTTGTTTTAATCAGTGTGACCAAGGGCTTGTCATCAGGACTGTAATCCTCATAGGCGATAGGGCTCACGTCATACATCGCAGGCCGGGATTTCTTTCCAAACCTGAAATCACAGACAGAGAGGACTCTAGTTAGATGAATATTATATCACAAGTCCTATTAAAAGCAAGTGATGAGAATAATTTATATTCAGGAATCAAAAGGAACTATAAAAATACTGTAAAAATATATTCTCTCTCAAGTACAGAAACCTAAGATAACCTGATATTAACATTGCATGTGTATAAACATTAGCCTTTGGTGCAGGAGGAAAAAAAAAGAATTTTATAAAACACAGAGCCCAAATGAACGTTGAAGCTTCTAGGTTAAATCTTGGCAAAGCAGTCAAGCACAACAGCTCCACAGGAGGTTTTAAGAAAATGTGTATCGATTTGTCTTTTTCTTTTGAGACCCATAAATATTTGGAGAGGCAAGTTTATTTTACACCACTCTAGTGCCTGAAATACAGAATGGCAGGGCAGTCTTTCCCGGACTGTGAACAGCCTCTCTTGTGGGATTTTCAGGGGATAAACTGTGAAGACTCAGAGGTCATCTGAGACCCCAACATAAGAAGGGCAGAGGGAGGAAAGGACTTCAGATATGGTGGTGTTTGTCCACACACTATGCCAGCATACACCATTGAGTTCCGCCCACCTATCACCTCCAACCACCGCCCCCACTCCACACACAGCCAGTGTTTTGTTGAGTACCAAGCCATTGTCCCAATAGATTTGTATATATCAAACTTGCCTCAACAGCAGGACTGACTCCCAAAAACCAGAGGAGTCAAAATCCAATTTCAAGACTTCCTGCCAAAACAGTCTTAAGATGGAAATTATTAAAATAAAACCAGTTTGACTTCTGGGTGGTCTCTTCCCATTCAAGATCTTACCTTTCCCAAAACCCCTGGAGTGCAACATGATTCAAACAGTCTTCCACACTAACCCACCATTCCTCCTCTTTTGCATAGACAACATTTTTTTTAACCATTTCAAGACCAAAAGGGCTCATTAAAAAGCCATTTTAAAAGGACCTTAAATTTTAAAAAGGTTACTAGGATATGGCCCCTAGGAATTAAAGGAGCTTATTTACCATGTCCCTGACCTATCTCTCCTCTTTTCCTATTTCCTCCTTTCTTGTATTTTGAAAGGCTGTCTTCTCATGTACAGAGATGGGAAGTAGAATCAAGTGGGAAACGAGAAAACATGCATTCTTCATTCTTCACATGGTCTTATAAACAAGTCATCACTCTTGTATTCCAATTCATTCAAGTTTAACTGGCCTGCAGCAGCACGAAGGCATAAGCCATGCCAGATCGGCGCCAGCTAGATACACAGCAGGCAAAATACAGGGTTAAAGAACTAAAGTAATCTGACTCCAAAACCCCACAGATGTCACTGCAATATTACAAAAGACTTCAATAAATTGATTTCTAAAATGTGAAACTTGACTGAAGATCCAGATTGTGCTTGCATAGATATGGGGTGAACTCCACCCTGCAGGCTGTTTGTCTAAATTGAGGAAGGCCTACATAATCTGAGGATAAGAAAAGTGTCAACAGGACTAAAGCTGGTCAGATCTTACACTTTCTCCCAAGTCTGAGAATTTCCCAGGCTACTTTAAGATGCAAATATTTTTATAATTTATTTATCATAAAACAACTAGATACATTGGTAAGAATATCCCACTAATAATAACAATTTAACAACAACAACAACAAAATCCAGCAACCCCCAGTGAAAAGCTCTCCATGTCCTAACATAATAGAATAAGTGGGATGGTTTCCAGTGGGAACTTTGACCTGGGCCAAAGTATAAAAAAAACTTAAGATTAATTAGTCATATTAATTAACTGACAAATTGATTGGTTGGCTGAAAGGAAAAAACCAACTTAATAGATTGAATGTATCTTTAAGATACCCATGTTTAAATATGATTTTAAGTTTGAAGAAGAATCTGCTTCCTCAAAATCTAGAAAGTTAAATGCCTTCATTTTATTCAATTCATTAACATGCTGTAGCTCAAAGGGCTGTAAACTTGGATGCTGCCAAAAAACTCAATATTGACAACGCAGGTTTGAGGGTGGGTGTCCACAGAGTACGATAAGGCACGGGCTGGGGTAGGTCACTGAAGAGTAAGCCATGTGTTCACCTGTGTATGCTCAACGGAGACAGAAGAACAAGGAGCATTGCTTTGTGTCCAGACTGGTTAACTCAGCCATGTGACCTGGTTCTCATGGGATTAATGCCAAACCAATATTGGCCATAAAGTATAAAGCTGGTTACCGAGGTGGTTAAAGAGTAATACCCTCAGCGCTAGAAAAGGGAGCAGGCAGACCTGAAGCTGGAATCTCTGTATTTTTATTTTCTAGTGCCCAAAACGTTAATCAAATTCTTTATCTTTGGAAGTCTCCACCTAAAATGCAGTATCTACCACATAGAAGCTAAAATGGCTTCCTTAATAGAAACATCAGTTTTTAAACACACAATAAAATGAAATAAGACTTTGCTTGATGAATAAATGATAAATGAATGTGCATTCATACCTACATTTAAAATACTAACAGTTTTTTAATCTCTCCTTTGTTTCTGAGAATTGGGTGGATGTTAAGAAATCAACAAGCCAGCACCTATAGAATTCCATTTTAAGCTCTCAGTCACTAAACCAGTGTCAGAGATTGCCTACTTTATTGCAGAGTTTTTATATAACTGTGTGAAATGAGGTCCAGATGAAGGCCAAACTTCACCTGCTTGTAAACCATTCATGTGCCTAATCCCAACTTGTACCCCACATCTTTATAATAAAATAAAGTAAAAATTAATAATAATAAATCAACACACCATTTTCCTTATCAAAAAGTACATTTCAATCATAAAAATAATAATAATAAAATGGGAAGCTAGAGAAAATTATAATGTAGACCAAGGGTTAGTAAACTACAGCCTACAGGCCAATTCCAGTCTGTTTGCCTGTTTTACAAATAAAGTTTTACTGAAATATAATCAAGCCCATTCATACTGCTGCTGGTTGCTTTTATCCTACAAAGGTTGAGTTGAGTGGTTGTGACAGAAACCATCTGGTTTGCAAAGTCTAAAATATTTTACAGATCCTTCATAAAGACAGAAGTCTTACTCTCCGAAAGATCAGGTGTCAATGTTTTGTACATTCTTCTTTTTTTTTTGAGTTGGAGTCTCCCTCCGTCACCCAGGCTGGAGTGCAGTGGCACGCTCACAGCCACCCCAGCATCCATCTACTGGGCTCTGGTGATCCTTCCACCTCAGCCCTCCAAGTAGCCAGAACCACAGGCATGCGCTACCACACCTGGCTAATTTTTTGATTTGTTGTAGAGGCAAGGTCTTACCATGTTGCCCAGGCTGGTCTCGAACCCGTGGGCTCAGGCAATCTTCTCACTTCGGCCCATCCCTCAAACCCACATCCCTCCAATTCATTTTACAAATATGTATTCGGCATCTCTGAAAGCATCATATACAATAATATTTATTACATATTTTAACAAAACTGAAAATCCTCTGCAAACTGTTATGTGACTGAATTTTTCAAACAACCTTCTGTGTGATGTTTTACTCTTTCGAAAGCGTTCTTGTCAAGCTAAAAAAATAAATTTACAAGTTAAAGAATTAATAAGAAAATGTTTCTTCTGTGATGGGCAAGGCTGGCTGAGTGGAGCACTCAGTGACTCTAGTCACACATCCCCACCTGAGGTAGTTCACGTCCTACAACATGATCATAGACCATGATAAGTACAAAATGTCTGCTGAGGATCTGTGAGGGAGCTAGATTTTTAAAAGATGGGGATGAATCGACACATACGCTTACCTCCCAAAAAAGCAACTCAAAAGCCCTGGGGCTCCATCCCCAGCTCCTCCTCTATCCCCACAAGGAGCCATTATCCCGCACTGTTCTGAGTGCTCATTCAACATATCATTCCATTGTCTGGTTTTCATTGAATGATTATCTCATCTCATTGATTAACAACCTTGTGAGGCGAGTGCCTATTATTGGTCCCATGTTACAGATGAGGAAATGTAAGCTTAGTGACAAGTATCCTAAGGTCACACCTCTGGTGGGAGGTGGAGCTCTCTAGCTTCCAAGCCTGGGTTCTGAACACTTCACTTCATACGTGTGAGGACCCCATGAATTGCAGCACTCATTCCACCTGTTCCTGATGAAACCTGTATACGGCAGCATCTAAAAGCATTACCTTCAAATCAGCAAACCTGCTTTCTCATTTACAAACTCTGGCTTACAGATCCTGATTTATTAACTCTGGCTTACAAAGCTCATGTACAAATCCTGGTTTTCTCACTTAACAATTCTGTGACTCTTGTGTAAATTGTATTATCTTACTAAGCCCAAATTCCTTTCACATATAATAGGGACTAATAATACGTGTGCCCTAGACTTCCTGTGAGATTCCTGTAAATGAGTTATTTGTACACAATTTAGCACAGTGTGTGGCCCATGGGAAGCCCTCCAATACAGTTGGTCATCTCAGAGGCATTAATAGAAGTCGTTGCTCCAGTGGTATCAATAGCACTGACATCTCAAACATCATATTCGGTGACAAGTTTTGCGTGCCTACTTCTCTAAAGAAACAAAAGATACTGAAACCAGTTCTAAGGAAGATCAAATGGGCGTGCATTCTTCTAGTTCATATTCCCCTGAAAGTCAACCACTAAAACAATGCTGCAGAGAATGTCAGATCTTGAGAAAGGCCAAAATCAGAAAGTTTTGAACTATTTGGGAAAAGACAAACATGTCCTTTCACAGCTCTGCTTTATCTGTTGTCTGTGATCAGGCATTTCTCCCTGGTAGAGCAGACAGCAATCAGCAAACGAGATGTGACCTCAGCCTCAGCACTTGGAGAGCCCTGGTTTTGTTCATGCTGGTCAGTTATAAGCCCTCTCCTGCCTGAGGATAAGCAAAGCAAGCTGTGGAACAGATGACTTTTGAAACAAGAAGGGGTGGGAGAAGGCTCCCCCGTTCAACCCAGCAGCAGTACCAACTGAGAGCTGACATCAGTATCATCAGATATTTCCTCAGCCACTTGTGACTGTCACAGGTGACCCACTCAGTATGTGTCCTGTGTGGCCACTGGGGTGCAGTCATACTAATCCAAAGTCACCGCTGGGTTAGTGGCAGGGAGACAGCCCACGAAATAGACGTTAGCTGCTGAAGACTAGGGCGAGAGTAACATCAAAAGATCTGAGATTTCACCAGTGCCTTTCTAGGGTTTCCAGGAAAAGGGAACACTGAGGGCCAACCAGTCAGAGACCCGGCCATGGCCTCAACACAGCCATGCTGTGGAAACCACAGGCTGTAGCTGAATAAACGTTCAAAAGAGAAATTTTCCTGCATTCCAGATATTTAGGAAGGTATTGTTTTAATGTCAATAATTTTATCTGCAGTCACTGGTGCATGTAGGAGCTTGTTGGTTAGGAATTCTGCAGTAAATATTTTTGATAAAAATCAGCCCCAAATAAGAACCAGGTTTGTAAATGCTTTCAAGTTTATTCTTTCCTTCCAAGAGTATTCAGTTAAATATTTTCCCTGTGGGTCGTATGAGCAGAAGGTTCAGAGGAATCGATCTTAAACTATTCTGGGGCTGAAATAAAATACTCCTCTTCTTGTGCCCTGAAGGATCTTAGCCATGGATGCCTGTGGGGGCAGGAGGAATCTGATTTATTGGGTCTCCCAATACATACAAATATAAATCCATGGATTCTGCTCCCTCCTGGTGAACTAAGTCCCTCCAGAAAAGAAGGAAAGAGAAGACACTCGGTTGCCCAGACTGGAGTACAGTGGCCGCTCCCGGCACTCGCCTGCTGGGCTCCGGCGATCCTTCCATCTCAGCCTTCCGAGTAGCCAGAATTACAGGCGTGTGCTACCACGCCCGGTTGATTTTTTGATTTATTGTAGAGATGAGGTCTCGCTGCCCAGGCGGGTCTTGAACCCACGGGCTCAGGCAATCCACTCACCTCAGCCTCCCAAAGGCGTGGGATTACAGGCTGAGCCACCAAGCCCGGCTGAGAAGGGACACTTAAACACCAAAGAAACTTGTCAGTTTTCTGCTCGATTTTACATTATCCACCTCTGGTACATAATGTGATTTCCAGTGATCATTCAGTGATTTCAGGATACTGCAAATACTCCTCTATGCTGGGACCACTTCTGAGGTGGTACCCTGCAATGAATCTACTTCTCAAGCAGGTCATGGCATTCTATGCCAACCCCTAGCTGAGATCTTCCATTCACTTCAAATCTCAAATTTTAGTGAGATCCACTATGTGGCAGAACCTGTTAGAGACATAGAAATAAAAGCCACTGCCCTTTATTTTTGAGGCAATGGAGTGAAGAGTCAAATAAACAATTAAAGTGAAGCTTGCAGGGTTTGGTATTTGAGGGACTTCCTGGATACTTTAGCACTCAAGTTGACCCTGAAAAGAAGAATCCAAGATGAACAGTCATGCAGGGCCTGAGTTGGAGGAAGGCTGAGCTCTCTCTTCTCCCTTACAGTTACATAAGTAAGACTGGGTACAAACATATCCTTTCATAGCTCTGCTTCATCTGTTGGCACTGAGGCAGATGTTCCAAGCCTCACAAGTTCTCTCTCCCATTGGCTCTGCCCCCTGGAAGCCAAGTTCTGGCTTTTGCTTCTATTGGAGTAATAAGATCACTGTAAAATCTGAGACTTGGGTTTAGAGAGCTTCTTTTGGAGAAAGCAAACTTTTCATTCAGACATAATTTGAATCTTCTCATGTTTTGACCAATACCAGTATATGATATCCCAAGAAAGTCCATACAGCTAACAGTTCCCTTGAGCCCCTATCTTAGGCACCAAGCTCAACCTACTTTTTACTATGGCACACCAACTTTCTGAATTGTGTGCCTGAGATTATTCTACCAATTAAATGAAAAAATAGACTACTTAAACAATATTGCTATTATTTTTGGAATAAATACTCTGCAAAAGTCAGTAAAATTTTAAATTAGCTGATTTTTTTATGTTATATAAGAGATTTGGAGAAGTAAATATGGTATTACCTGTTTACACCATCCTTTGATATTTATAATTTAAGATGACTGTCATAGCTCTCTAAGGGAGGAGAGTTGTCCTTTGATCTATCTAACCCACAGAGTCAAGTAGTGGGCTAATTAAGACATAACACTGCAATTCAGACACCAGAACCTATGCTCTTCCTATGGTATCACACTAACTCTTTGTTCCTCCAAGTCTTTCCTCCAGAAAGGGACACTGCTTTCTATAATTCAGACTTCAAAAATAGAAAGATAGCTGTTCATCATTCTTTTAGTAGGCTCTTAAATCAAAAGGAATCATTTATATCCATGTTGATTGTTTGAAGAGCAACATGGCAAAAGACACTGCAAAAAGAAATTAATCAAAAAATTTTTCAATACACTGTGATTGAGAATAAAATATTTAGTCACAGATCAACACAAACTAAATAAATGAATGTCTTAGATGTAAGCAAAACAAAACAAAAAGCTAGCAGCAAATTTAAAGGAACTTGCTACAAAATGATTAAATGATCTGACCCCAATACTATGTTGAACATGTTAAAAAATCCTCTCTTTGCAGATGTAAAGTCCTGTTTGTAATATGACCCTAGTGCCAAAAATGTACATGTGAAAGCAACATCCCCCTTCCTCCTCTGCCACCCTCAGCACCCACCTGGCATGCCGGATGGAAGCAATTGCATTGCTGAACTCGCTGTCGATGCTGCGGCAGTTGTAGAACTCCTCGTAGGCTGGCCTGGAAGAGCCTTGGTACTCGATGCGGCTGATGCGGCAAATCCCCACAATCAGGATGATCAGCATTAAGATGAAGGCAACACAGAGAGCTCCGATGATGATGTAGAGGGAGTGGCGAGGCATGTTAGTGAGGCTCTCTGCCATGTGTCCGGACTTCCATTGGAGGTCTGAAGGCACAAATAAGCAAATGGATAGGGATGAGCCCTGGTTTTTAGAATGTGAAGGTCTTTCTCATCCTGCATTGGTAACAGAACTTAAGGACCATTCAAACTGGGAAGAATTATTGTCTATGGATAATCCAGACCAAGGACTAACATCCTTGATTCATAAGGACCTCTTAAAATCATTACAAAGAACCAGGAATACTCCACACAAAAAAAATAGACAAAGGACATAAAGAGGAATCCATCAAAGAAATACAAGTAGAAAATTGTTTAGTTTCATAATCATAAAAGTTGCAATTCGTCTACCAGCTCCCAAATATTATCTTAAAATGATGATAACCATAATTGACAAGAGTACCCAGAAATGGGGACTATAAGTTGATATATAATGCTTCAGTGGACTAACTGGCATAGACTTCAACCAAGATTTTCCCATTTTAGAATATATGCATTTATGTTGGGGAAATGGCCCTGTAAATGCATAAAACTCTGTGCACAAGAATGTTCATCTTGTATCACAATTTTTAAATCTGAAATTATCACCTATTACACCTATTACCTATTTGGAAAAAGGCTCAGAAAACAGCAGACACCCATGTACTCACTGCTCAGTTAATAAATGTTAATATTATACCATTCTTGCTTTAGACGTTTTCAGATAGTTTTTAAAAAGAAATAAAATGTTACAGATATAGCTAGAGTTCCCCCAACGCATACTCTCTTTATGCTACCAACACCAGCACAATTTATAAAAGTCAAAGCATGGGAAACAACCTAAATATTTAACTCTTAGTGAAATGGAAAGATGTCCATTCAACAGCAAAAGAATAAAAGAATGTTACCAAATAGGACCTACTTGTACAATACAATAATTTGACAGTTACATATTTGTGAGTTTAAAATAGATATCCACACATTGAAAAACTCAGAAGAATAGAGTGATAATAATGGCAAACGTGTATTGATTTCTTACTATGAACTGAGCACTTCAAAAACATCTCATTTAGTCATTATAACCAGAAGATATATTATTCTCTCTCCTACTTTACAAAAGAGGTCCAGGGAATTGACATTACTTAGAGTGAATGCATCAGACACAAGTGTGAATCTGAGGTCTCGGCCTCTGCACAGCAATGTGTTAACAATGGTGATCTCTGGAAGTGGAGATTACAAGTGATTTTTATTTTATTCTTTACCCTTCTCAACCTTTGCCAGCTTTTTCCAAAATAAGAATATATTCCTTTTACAATAATAAAAATAAGGATCTGAAGAAGACATTTGTGGGATCATCCTCCATCATAAGTATGAAGAGAGTGTGGGCCTTGGAATCATGCCAACTTTGTTTTCAATCCCAGCTCCCACATTTACTCAATCTCCTTGAGCCCTGATTTCATGGTTTCTAAGATGAAAATAACAACAGTAAGTCTCCTATATACAAACGAGTTCCATTCTGAGTGTGTTCATAAGTCCAATTCATTCATAAGTCTAACAAAGTTATCTGGGGTACCCAACTAACACAATCGGCTATACAGTACTGGCTACATCACTGCTGCTTTTATGTTGCTTCTAGATATCCTTGAAATAAAACTTGAAATAAAGATACTGTACTACTATACTCTACGCAGCACTGTACAGTAAAGTACACAAAAGCACAACCACTTGTAGAGGATGTACACATGTGACAATGTATGCTAGACACGTGAACTTACATGATTGGACATGTGAACACACGTTTGCATCTTTGAAAGTTTGCAACTTGAAGGTTTATATGTAGGGGACTTACTGTACACCCCACTGTCTTTCTGTGAGCATGAGTTAGAAAAGGTGTTAAAAAAACACACTTAAAAAGTTCACTGCTGGAATGTGGTGCGTGGTCCCTAAGGAGGAGCAGTTGCAGTGATGGAGGAGGGAAAAATAAAGAGGAGCTTGTTATCCTCTAAGGCATGAGTCTGAGCTGAAGTTTATCAAGCATTGCCCTGTGTCTCCTCTAAAAGCATCAACCTATATTAGCAGGGGAAAAAATGGAAGGACAGGATATAGTCTCCATGCTTGGTACAAGTCAAGGTGTCAAATTATGTTTTGTTTACAGACCTGCACATAAGTGGAATTGTCTAGATGACATGAACAGGATTTGAAAGGGAACTGTAGAAATTAAAAAGGTCTAGGTAAGACCAAAGCAACGTAGAACTCGTGAAAAAGAGGATGCTTTCTCTACACATGCCACCACCATCACCACCCCCGCTTTGCCTCCAGGAAATCACTGTCATAGTGGGATTCTGGGTGCCTGAATACGGAATTCAGAGGTAAGTGGGAATGGGACTGAGTTCATTGAAATCCACTGGGTTTTTTGCACTGTTCCATTATAGGTGAGAGCATCTGAGGGCTCTGGGCACCTACACTCTCATCTCAGCAATATCGTCAGTGATCATGGAACCTGCTATCCAGACTCAACTACTCTTTATCTTGAAAAGTTGCAATCTAAAGAACAGCACAGGTAGACACTCAAACAAGGACCCAGGTTTGAAGCCTAACAGAAAACTGGTCCGCATGCCCAGCCTGATGGCTTTCTGAGAGCTGGAGAAGAATGGATGAATGAAGTGACTCCTGAGTTTGCATCCAGATTCTCCTGAACATTTTACTGAGAGCTTTAAAGCCTAGTTTGTCATTCTGTCTGCCTGCCTGGAGCTTAGTAAGACTAAATGACCATTAGTGCGTTCATTGCTCCATCTGAGCCAACTCACACACAGGCAGACACAGCAACATAAATCACCGCAGATAGTCATGATGGAAAGGAGAAGGTGTTCAACCAGAACTAAGGCTCAATCCCCAAATCCACAGTCATTTCATTTGGCAATACCTCGTGTGCATTGAGGGAGACAACTCATTTTTCTGGCTTAAAGAGTAAGTGTGATTCACTTGATTTCCAAGTATTATAACATTCTCTAAAAAATTCAATTGCAGGCTGGAGTCCAATGCTCAGCAGAGTATGTTATAACATACATTTAGCATCAACATGAGAGCAGCCAGTACTGTGTTTCTGCTCCAGCTTGGGTAGAGTGCTTAGATCTGATCACTACGGAGGATTGCACGAGTTCATGATGAGTTCTTGTGGGCTACGCATAAACTTCATAGAAATAACTCACATATCCTATCACTTGTGTATACACAGTGAGTGCGCAACCACATGGCCACTACAGTGAAAAAACAACTGCACTGGATTATGTGCTCTGTGCGGTGTCCCAGGCCTGATGGCTTGCATTTCTGACCATCTGCTCCATTTCCCAAAAGTCTGTGTTCCAAGCCATTAGGACTTTTGGAAAAACTTTTCCAAATTTCTCTGAAACCTCTGCTTTTCTCCATTCCTCTGTCCTTTTCTTGAAAGTTAGATTCCACCTTACTGTCATCTAAAGCTTTTCTGATAGACGTGACTGTGGATGCTTTCCGGGCGAATTGGTTTAGTAGCCCATAACCTGGGTTGGATCTGGGTATATCCAACACTAAGTCTGAGAGGCAGTAAATTTATCTGCACCAGGTGGCTGCAACTGCCGTCTCCCAGGCCAGACGCTATCCTCATAAGTCATCGCTTTGCTGCATCCCGGGAGTCCCAGTGCATGAATCATTGACTATGTTGGCTACAGCAAGCACAGGGAAGAATTGTGAACCAGAATGTGCCAGATGGGTTGATCTCATCAGCCCCAGCAGGTGCATGACCAGGAATGCATATACACTAGCTGTTCAAGAGAAATGTTGCCCTTGTTGTTCTGAGTGATCATTTTCATTTCTATTTAAACCAAAATTTGTGTGAGGTTTTGTATTTTCCAAAGTGCTTTTGCATTGAACATTTCAGTTGGCCCCAAACAACCACCTTGAACTAGGCAGAGGAGCTAGGCTCAGAGCAGCTGCTCAAGGTTAAACAGGCAGTCAGTGGCCAAGCTGAGAATAAAACCAGGTCTACTAGTGACCTGTATTCCACCAAAAACAGATTCCAATCAATTTACATATTGATTCTAAAATACATTGTCCATATCTATTTTTTAATTTCCATAGTGAAAGTAACTGTTCACCTGTTATTTAAAAAGAGAATGAAAGTGAGTGTGTCTCTTGTGAAGATGTCACTTAGTTCAATCACTTTTGAGATCACCTGCTGCCTAGAACAATTTTGAGAAGGGACTCCATGCAAAGCATGCACTCTACCACTGAGATACACCCTGACTCGAGGATAGATTTCAAATTGCTTTATGTTTTCTATAGCTAAAGGTCAGCAGGACAATCAAAGCAGTCGATGGGATGGAAAAACATTAACAACCCTTGTTAATCTTCGGAAAAGGAACGAATGGGAAAAGGGAATGAAAGGAATAGATCACCTCCTTCATAGGGATCCATTCACTGAACAGATGAATTAAGCACCTACTGTGTGCCAGGCACAGTGCTGAGTACCAGGGATACAAAGCGAGGGAAAATAGAAAGAAAAGTAGTCTTGTGGAGCCCCAGTCTTTTTGAGAGATATAGGTATCAAGCAAATGATCCCAAAATAAATGTTAAAGTACAACTGTGCTACATCAATGAGAGACAAGCTCTGCACTGCTGCGGGAGAGGACAGGAAATGTTCCATCTCACAGAGTGTTGCACTACAGAAGTCTCCTGGGAGCTGGCTCTAAGGGTGAGTGGGCACTAACCAGAGTCAAGGAAGGGCAGAGGGAAGACTGGCCCAGACAAAGAACCGGAGAGCAGCACAGGGATGTAAAAACAGTCGCTTAGTGGCTTGAGAAGATGAGGCGGAGAGTGATCTCAGCAAGGAGGAGGGGCCACCCTGCAGGGTAGGGTAGTGCGGCCTTGGGTCTTTAATCATTTCTGTATTTTAATAAGAGCTTGCCACAGGCAGGGATGAAAACTGAGAGCGAGGGTCTGAGTGTTCCGATTTACACTTTGAAAAGATCTTTCTGACTGTGAGTGAAGAAAGGACTTGAGGGGCAAGGACAGAAGCCAGTTCAGAGGCTCCTATA